GTTCAGCAAGCAGGAGAGGCTAGCCCCCAGCCCCTCCCCTTCTACCCCCTTGCCCTCTGTAGCCTCTGCTCCCCCAGTGCCTGGGCAGTGCAGTTGCTATGGTGACAGTCTGGCTGCTCCAGGGAGCATGGTCAGGGGGCAGGAAGGAGGGGGATTGGATAGGAGGCAGAGGATCCCAGGGAGTGGTCAGGGAGCAGGAAGTAGGGTTCCAGAGAGATCATGGAGCAGGAGGGTTGGATAGGAGATGGGATCCTGGACGGGGGAGGGGGGCAGTTAAGAGCCAGGGGATGGGAAGGGGGGGGCGGGGTTGGATTGGATTTGGAGAGTCCAAGGGGCATGAATCATGGGGGAGAGGTGGATAGGAAGCAAGGGTCCAGAAGGGCCAGAGGGGCGAGGACTGGGCTACACCTGGCCATTTGAGGACGCCCAGCTACTCTGCCTGGCCCTCCATACAATGTCAATATCCAAAAGGTTTTCCCACACCTGCTCTAAATGGCCAATTTAAGTATCAGAGGAGACAACAGGTGGACGGACAGACAGACAGAAGGGGCGCACAAGTGCAGGGGGTAATGTCTCATTGTTCTCCCCCACCCATTTGTCTGTCTCCCCCACTTGTCTCTAGGTCTTAGCTTGGAAGCTGTTTGGGGCAGGGACGGTCTCTTTGGTCTATGTTTGTTCAATGCCTGGCACAGCAGAGCCTTGGTCCTTCTGTGGGCTCCCTATGTGCCACAGACATAACCACCGGCTGGCAGTCTACGCGGCCATACCTGAGACTCTGTTGTCCACGCTGCGGGCGGCACCCACCAGGTATTCCAGAGTGCTCTGGCAGCAGGTTGTTTTCCCAGCGCCACTTCTCCCCAAGGGCACAATAGCCTGGTCCTGCCGACGCATGAGCAGGCTCCAGTAGGCTTTCTGTGCCAGGGAGCAGATGTGAGGGGGCATGCTATCTCGCTTCCCGCGAAACACCTGGAGACAGAGAGGCCACATGAGGGAGCTGCATTGACCATCTGGCTGAACATTGTGTCGCCCACAGGAAAGTTTTAACTTCAAGCCTGTAGGTTTCCACATTGTAACCCATTGGGCTTTCCCACCGCCCGCCCTTTCTGCACTTCCCTGCAGATCACAGGCACTGCAGCTCTGAGCACTTCTGAGCCCACCTCTTAACGAGCGGCTCTGCCTTTAATGAAATTCCTCCCTTCTCTGCCCTTTCGTGTCACCCCATGGCCCAGTTTCCTAGAACTCTGGGAAACTCAATTCCTGGTTTGCAGAATGTCACCATTTCCTCTCCAGTTTTGAGTGCACACTGTTCCAAGATACGCTGCTTTCTTTGCGATCCTAGCAAAACAGCTCCTTCCTCACTGAAATCAGGCAAGCACATGTAACCCGCACCCTTCTGGGTATGGTGCACTCATGCAATTTTAATGAGAACCATCCCCCCTTGATTCAAAGGTGTGAAAAGTGACAAAGAAAGGCCCATTTCTCACAGCTTCTGCTTTGGAACGGGTCCACTTTTATTTGGAACTTTCATGTGAATGGGACTTAGCTTCCCCCCCTGGATGTTTCATACACTTTGATGTTGTTCCAGACGAGGCATCCCCACCCCTTCGGTTTGCTCTGACCTGCTGCACAGAAAGGCCCATGTTCAGATCCCACCACATGGAGTAAGGAGGCTCAGATTTGTGAACATGTGGCTCAGAAAATGGATCCTGTGCATGTTTTCAGCCCCTACAGGAGTGCCTACTTCCTCAGCTCTGAACTGTGCACTGCTCCAGAGTGCTGCTTTCCAGCCCCTTTCTGCTGTTAGCATGGTTCTGTGGCACCATCTTTTGGACGCTGCTGGAATCCAAGGAAATCTCCTTGAAAAGGCCGCCGGGGTGTTTGGAAGATTATCTTTCTAAACCAGCCAAATAAAACCCTCTCAAGCTCTTCTAAAATTGCTTCCCAGTGAAATACGTGTCCGCAGCTGAACATCCAAGGGTGAGGGATTAGAGTTTGATTTGCAGCTACCCCAAACCCAAGGCAAGGAACCCATCTACCACTTCACACTATCCCATAGCCTCAGTTTCACAACAAGACATCTCACAGGCCAGCCCATCACTTACCTTTCCTGAGTAGCTAGTAGCAGCCCAGCTGGGCTTGACAGCAACCAGGCTGGGCCCAGCGTACGTGTGGCAGAGCTGGGACCAGTACCGGTGCTGCAGTGTGTGAATGACACTCGATTCGTTCAGACTAATCAGTGCAGCAAGATCTTCTGTGCAATCCAGCGTGGAGGGGTTAGTCTACAAAAAATCACGCATGAGATGCCGCTGGAGGGCCTGGCTGTGCTAGAGACACTCATTTCATTCCTGCAGCTGGTAACTCTAATAACCTAGGAAACCTAACGCATCTCCAACTCATTCCAGAGTGCCTGGTGTCCCCCCATGGAATGGGAGGAGGGGAGCACTCACCAGATGTGATTCCTTGGGGCAGTGAAGAAATCAGCTTTGGTGCCACTAAATTAAGATGTCTGTGGACACTGCTACCCAAAATGGGCTGTCCCCTTTCCAGCTCACGTTTCAATAGGGTTGCGTGCTATGAACTGGGAGCAAGAACCAAAACCATAATGGTGGAGCCTGGCAGGGACTTGCAGAGTAGATCCATGAATGGAGGGGAGAGGGCTGGAGCAGGTCAGGTGCCCCACAGCAGCCAGAGCGTAACTCCCACCCTTGCTAATGCAACCTGCAGCCAGCGGTGCAACAGGCTCCGAGCACTGCAGTCAGGCACAAAGGAGAGTCAGCCACAACAAGGCCCAGCAGCTCATGAATCTCCAGCAAATGAAACAGGAAGTGCTGTCGGGACATCGGATGGGGGAGGGGGCGTAGATCCGCATAAGCTGGCACACCTTCAGGAGCTGACCCCATCTCGCAGTGAGATTTGCCTTGGGGCAGAGCCCCCTTCCAGCTGGGGTGGGGGAAAGGGCTTTTCCAGGCAGGATCTGTGGGGGGTTGATTTCTGGGGACTTACCCGGTGAAGCGTCTCCTCATCCACCTCAGTGACGGTGTTGTCAGCATCGATGCGAATCCTCAGCCGCCCAGCGGGCAGCTCTGGGGTGCCCACATCTGGCTTCAGCACGGTGGCTGCAAGAGAAGCCCAAAGACTAGCGCTTTCCTAAATAAGGGGCAGCCAATCAGTAGTAGCTGCACAGGCCTGTGCAGGGGGCAGGCCTGGTTCGGAGAACCGTGGAGGTGCTGATTCTGGACTCACCCCAGTACTGGGAAGTAGGGGAGTTCCAGTGTGCCCCACCAGGGCCCGTGCAGACGAAGGGGTAGGTCTGAGGGCTGCATGGGCAGGTTTGCCCATCG